GCCCACCCTGATCCTTGCTGGAGGAGCCCCCTCACACCAGCGTGTCTGTGGCTGGGGGGCTCTGTGCAGAGGTGCTCCCTGTCCAGTAGTGAACAGTCTTCTTTGGAGGCTGGGTCCTGCTACCATGCAGGCCTTGCTCTAATGTCTTGAGTCTGCGGATTCAGCCCTGTGTGTTAAGACACTAGGTTCAAGAGGACGTTTGCAGATCTAACTGCTTATATTGGCCCTGGCTCTCTGAGGGCTGGGTCTTCGTTAAGAAAGCAGAGGTCCTGGTGAGGAAAGGCAGATGGGTTCGATATATACCATCGGAGGAAGGGTTAATAGACTGAGGTCTGGGAAGGGGAGTATTGGGAACGTGGGGTGGAATGAGGCCTGTGACAGGGAGTTGAATGGACTCAAGATAAATGTCTGTTTCCAGGTTTTTCCTGGAACTGACTCAGACTATTTAAATTACATGTGTGTGTTGAATAAAATAGATCGGAATTTCCGTCTGGCTTGGAATTTGCATTTGTATTGAAGAATTAAGGTTGCTGTTAAAGGGGGAGAATATAGCTCAGTGGTAGAGTGCGTGCTTAGCATGCACGAGGTCCTGGGTTCCATCCCCTGAACCTTCATTAAATAAATAACCCTCATTACCTCTCCCTGCAAACAAAAAAACCCAAGCAAACAAAAATTAATAAAAAAAATTAAGGAAAACAAAAACAAAAACATTAAAAAAGAAGATTTTTGTTAAAAAGAAGAGCTGAAAGCACAGTTGAGTGTTTCCCCTACCCTGACGTCCCCCTCGACAAGACTGCCGACCCCATGTAAACCTAACACAAGTCGTGGTGTTGCTCTGGCTTTGGCCCTCAGTGCAGGGAATTCTCCCTAGCAGAGGAGAACTGGGGGATCTGCAGTGAGGCAGGACATCTCCAGCGGCTGCGACCATCTTCCCGCCCTGACAGCCCATCTCTTTTACATGATATCAGACCCTTTGCACCTTAAGAGGCCTGAGGTCAGCCTGGGGGCAGACGCCCCTTCTAAGAATCCAAGGGGAGCAGGATCCTCTCTCTGTAAAATGCCCAGAATCACAATTTGTATATGATGCGTCAAGGGTAGTGGTAGGTACCTTAAGGAGGGAGTGTCCCCATGGCCCAGGTTAAGAATTCTTGCTCTAGGGCCCAGGTCACTGTTGAGCCACCAGGGGGCGCCCCTGAGGGTGGCCTTATCCCATCCATCAACTTGACCTGTCCATTTCTCCTTTTGCTAACAGGTCTGAGTCACTGGATTTGTGTAGCACCCACATGCCCTGCAGTGCTCACGTGGTAGAAATACTGAGTTGTAATTTCTGGTTTTATTAAAAACCCCATTTTCCCAAAGCCTGCTTCTCTTTAAAATACATACTAATTCCATTTCATCTTCAAGGGTGTGTACATTTTTATGGCCAGGTTGGCCCATTTGTAGAGCTCCCTGGGGAATGGGGGGATTTGAAGATGCATCTTGCTTCAGTCTCGTGAACTTGCTCAGCAGTATAAATGCAGTTCTTATTGTCAGTTTTCTTCTGAGGTGGAGAAACACCATTCTGCCACCTTGAGACACCTGTCACCACTTTACAGGCAGAAATCCATTGGGATTGGAAGGTGCGGGCACGCGGGGGCACCCAGGAAAGTAGCGGAACTGGGTGAGTGGGAGGATGAACGTGTGTGATGGCACATGGGCCTGACTGTGTCGAATAGGCTTCGATTCAGTGACCGTTCCTGTTGCTTTGGATTTCACATCAGAGCAGCAGAGTCTGCAGACCTATCGCCTTAAAGGGAACTTCTCTGCCTTTAAAACTCCATCGAAGCCTGGCTCTTCAAATTCTCTGTTGCTTACAGTCCCTGGTAACAGCGGGTGCTTAGTGGATGCCAACAGGCTGGTGTTTACATGGCCAGTGGACCTCTTTCAGAAGGATATGCCCTGTCGGGTACTCCTAGCTCTCCATCCACAAGCCCCTGTTTTGGACCCACACCAGAGGGTGGTCTCACCTTTTTGCAGATGCACTGACTTCCCACGTGGGTGGGAGGCGGTGCCCTCTAAGACATTCACTGATGACATGAGTAGAATCAGCTTTTTTTTAAAAAAAAAAACCTTGATTCTTTTAAAAATATATACGTTTATTTATTTTACATTGTCTTTTTTTGTTTGTTTATTTTTGGTAGGAGAGGTAATGGAACCCAGGACCTCGTGCATGCTAAGCAGGCGCTCTGTCACTGAGCTGTACGCTCCCCCTTAGCCTTGCTTCTTCACTTCGAGTTGGAATTTTTGCAAGTTCTCAGAAGCTGCAGGAGACAAATTTTTTTTTAATTCTTATTTTTCATTGAAGTGTAGTGGATTTACAATGTTAGTTTCAGATGTACAGCAAAGTGATTCACTTATACATATACATATGTACGTATGTATATTTTCAGTTTCTTTTCCATTGCAGCTCATTACAAGAAATTGAATGTAGTTTGCTGTGCACTGCAGTAGGTCCTTGTTATCTATCTGATACATAGTAATGTGTGTCTGTTAGTCCCAAACTGTAAGGAGACAGAAGTATTACCGGATCCTGGTCTAAGCTTAGGGCACAGTTGGCTAAGGATCTTGCCAGTGAGGGATGTGTGTCGGGCTCCTCCAGGCCCTTCATCCCTTGGCAGGACTTGAGGGCTTTCAGTTGACCTGGAGTGAGCTCCTGGGGCCTGTGCACCAGGCTGAGCTCTCTGCTGGAGCCAGTGTCCCTGCGCAGCTGCATCAGACACAGGGAATGTGAGGCTGATTGCAGTGGGAAGAGCTGGAGAGGACTGTGTGCACGTTAGTGCGTGTTCTTCGTGTCACGTGGCAGGATCTCGCCGAAGGCTTCCTGGCTCCCAGAAGTCAGGGACGAGCTGGTGTAGTTTCCCAGGAGGGCAGACGGCAGGGGGAGGTGTGGTCTGCAGCATGTCCTAGTGAGTGTGGCAGTGGGCAGAGGGATGGAGAGTCCCTGTGCTTTGGCTAGTGGGCAGATGGGAAAATCGTACTTTCAGAAGGGAGAAGTCTTTGCTTCATAAAGCTTGCTCGAGCTACTGATTGGTTTAGTTTCCCATCTGTACTTGGTGAGAACAGCTAATTTCTAGCAGGAACAATTGTGCTCAAGATGGAGTTCCCTTTCTGGTTAAGATGTGTAAGGACCTTGAGCCTACACCTGCCCCCGCCTTGGGTGTATCATGGCAGCGTGATCTGTTTTCCGTTGTCTTCTTCCCTCCCAACACAAGATGCCCTAGCTTTGCCCTCTCCTCCCCTGCTGCTGCTGGTTGAGGGGACGTCTGCCAATCCAGGTGACCGCCCACTAGGTAACTGTAAGGCAGGTAGTAAGGGCAGCGCCCTGGCATTGAGGGGAGGGCTTCTGACTGGAAATGCACTCACAGTGAACGGAGACAGCCACCCTTTAAAACTCGCCTGAAATCCAGAGGAGGGGGAAGGAGAAAGGAGGGCGGCCTGCTCTTCCAGCTTCAGCCACGTGGATGCATGGCCACAGTGGCCTTGGCTGCCCTGGGCACTGCTGCACAGGAGATGCCGCTGGAGGAGAGGCGGGGCCCCCAGGCTCTGACAGCAGGTGTTGGGCTCCTGTCCCTTCCTCCCCAGCTGCCCAGTGTGGAATCAGGGTGTCCCATGGGCCCATGGCAAGTCTCCTCGGGAACATGCTGGGGGTCGGGTCCTCAGATATTCAAGTTTATCGAGCAAAGCAACTTTCCAGTGAGTCACATCAGACATGTTACCATGAGTCTCAAGAACCAGGCACTCGATGAAAACTTGACTCGTGGCTGGTGGAAAGCCCTGTGGATTGAGAATACTTTGAGAAATATGTCTATGGGAAAAATGTCTGTTTCAATTGAAATTTTAAAAATGTGATCCCTGGGGGCAGACCGCCCTGTTTCTCCAGAGCGGTGGCAAGGGCCAGCACGTGATGTGAGGCTGGACAACTGTGAACACCTTGATCGCTAAGTAACTTTTGTCTGTGTATTAGAAGTAGATGAAGTGAGATGGTGCTGTCTCCTGAGGTTTAAAATCATGAGTTTTTGCATGGGTATTTGGGCAAGTCTGTATGCTTTTATATTAAAATGTTTGAGCTCCTGTGTTTCTGTATCTTAAGTTCATTATGCCTGGCCTGTTCAACAATAATTAGAAACAATTACATAATGTTTTGTTTGGTCTCCATGCTTACGTGTTGGAGTAAGTACCATTAGAACATAGATAAATGAATGGTGGAATAGGATGATTCTTTTCAACAGAGTCTTGGGGACAGCTTTACATTGTAGCCAGAATTCTTGGTCCTTAGGTGTTAGAAAATTCTGTGCTCAGCGATCACCTTGCCCATTTTATTAACTTGCCTGTTTTCTATGTAATTTGGAAATTGCAGTCCAGCCAGTGGACTAATGAAACTTGCATCAGGGAAAGCAGGGTCTGCGGGCCAGGGTGAAGCTTAGCATTACTATAAAATTTGTTTCTCTTTCAATTTTCATTGTTTTCTCCCTCTCCTCTAAATTCATGCCAACCCTCAGCTTTTTTCCCCCGACACTTGCTGTAGTGATATTAATTGACAGGAGCAGAAATAATTTCAGAGTAAGTTCTCTCATAAATGAGGTAATTTCAGTCATTCCCAGGGGCATCTGACTTTTGCTTATAAACAGGAATTTACGTTAGGATCATGTCCTGGGTTGTGTAAGTTGATAATGTTGCTGGAGAGCAGTCAAGATGAAGGGGGCTCATGCCCATGTATTACAGTTAGTGTCTTAGAGGGCAGAAAACTTGTCGGGGGCCTCCTTTTAGGCCAGAAGGTTCACTAAGAGGAAGTGATGGCGGGATGAGAGGACACGTGCAGCAATAAAGGTGCCCTGGCCCCCGAAAGGGTGGTCTTCTGTCCCACTGCCAAGAGGGCCGGTTTCCAGGGAAACTCTTCCTGGGCTGTGCTTCTCAGTCCTGTGGGACCAGCTGTTGATTTTCTACTGATGGTCTTGTTTTAGCCAAACTCAGGTCCTGAATTGATTTTGTCTGAAGATGAGAAAAGTGACCCTGAAGACCCGGAAGAGACAGAACTGGGCGTCATGGAAGATCAGCGCAGTGTAATCCTCCACCTCATCTCCCAGCTCAAACTTGGCATGGATTTGACCAAGGTAGGTGGGCGCATCCCCTGGGCTTGTGGCCGGTTGTCTGGGTGGCGTCTCTATCTCCAGGCCTGCGTCGCACACAGTCTCTGCGCTGTGTGAGATTGGGGAGGGTCAGAGCTGCAGTCAGACGTGTTCGTCCTGGGGATCGTTTGAGAGGATGCTTGACGGAAACCCTCATCCTCAGTGCGTGATGTGTGAGCCTTGGATTTGATTCTCTGGATCAACGCTACTACTCTCTGGGGCTGGAAAAGCCCGCCAGATGATAAGGCAAATTCTAGTGGGATTCCTGTGTCTCCTGCTGTGCCCTAAAGGGGGTTAAAGCGGACCTAGAGAGAGAGCCGTGGTGCATTGGCCACGGATAGAAAACGGGAGGGAGGAAGGGTGGGGGCAGGACTGAGGCCACCTCCTCTGGCTGCCGGCTGTGGGTGGCTCACTGGGGGCCCGGGCCTCACTGCCCACCTGGGGAGAAACAGCCTCTGGGCAGTAGATGCACAGCATCTCTTGTTGGTGCTGCGCCCGTCCTGGGGAGCCTCGTCCGGAGAACCCGGTATCCTCACCACTGATGGCCAGTTGATGGCCTGTGGAGGTCCTCCCCCACCTCTGGTAGTGGCTTTATTTGGGAGGCGAGAGAGAAAGGCGCTTTGTGTGCAGCTGAGAGGTGTGCGGGGTCGTGAGGGGCACTGTGCAGCGGTGGATGGTGCCTGGACTTGACTCCCTGGGAGGGCGGCATGAGAGTGGGGGTGCTGTGTGCAGAGACCAGGGCCGGTGCTGAGCTCGGAGTAGGTGTGTCGTATTCTCGTCCTGACTGTGCTGTGTCGTGTGCTGGTGGAGGGGCAGCTGCCCAGGAGGGGGAGACGTGACCAGTGGGGAGGGGATGCCAGGAATGGAAGCTTTGGATTTGGAAGGCTGGCCAGCACAACACGGACCTCCTCAAAGTAATTAGAACCAGTGAAGGCGCAGCCTTGAGGGTAGTGGGCTTGTGCTGCTCACCTTGAGCTCACCTCGGCCTGGGCTGGAGGCCAGAGAAGAGGAGGGAGGGGCCGGGCGTGAGAGGGTCTTTGAAGATGAAGGTGCCAACTCGGAGCCTCAGAGGTGAAAGAAGAGCCTCTTCTTGGTGAGGTTTTTACGGTTTGACGGCGATCGTGTCTGACTTGCCCAGGGCGGCACCATTTTCCACAGGACTGTGGGCGCCACCAAGGAGCCTGACCTGGAAAGGTCCCTTTCTCTGTCCTCCCCTGCCCTCTGCTTGGATCTGCCTGGCTCTGCATGCCAAGCTGACATCCCCGGCCTTCCCTTAATTTCAGATTTCTGACTGTGTACTTGGCATCCTCTTTGCTAGAGGAATCATTTAAGTCCTTGCCTTTCAAAAAGCTGCTTCTCTCTGATTTCTGTGGGTTGTGCAGACCACCCAGATGGAGCTGGAGTGAAAACCTGGTGGGGGGACGCGGGTGGTGACGTCACTAGGGTGACCCCGAATCACGGTCCCAGACTCTGGGTTCTGGCCCATTTCGTAGGTTGTGAAACCAATCGAGTAGGTCAAATGATCATTTCTCAGAAGTGAAATAAAATATATAGAAAGGACCAGAGCTTGCAGCACGTGAAACTTCTGAGTCCTGTGACCCACGTTGCTGGGTCACCACGTAGAAAGCATTCTCATCATGGGTCATATTTTTTAAATTTGTAACACACTGATGCAGAATCTGAGCGATACAGGGGAGAGGCTAAGTAACTGAAGTCCTCCAGGTCAGATGTGGAGAAACCCAACAAAACCCCGAGGGGACTGTGTCGTGGCTGGGCACGGGTCTCAGAGACTTGGCTTTCTCCTGTTTTAAAATATGGGAGTCACAAGAACTGTGCCTCTTCCTAAAAGAGCTCATGTTGTGTTTCTCCAACAGTCAGCTTTCAGAAAGGAAAACTTTTCCCGTCTACCATTTATTAGCTTATTTACTGGGGAGAGGCTGTTACTCAAGAACCCAGGGGAAATTTGATGAGCAGCAATTCTTGTGAGGAAGGGAGACCCTTCATTGTCTGGTGCAGTTTCTGGCCTTTTTTGGCCCTCCGTCGTCAGGATGTTGATGAAATTACGTCTCCTCACCTCTTGACTCTTGCCCGTGTCATCCAGCTGAGCTTGTGCTGAACTGGCAGGGGACGCACTTGGCCTGTCGAGCAGGCACCCAGGACGGGGAACCTTCCTGGATTCAAGGTTGAAGCTCTGGTCTCTCCCTGAAACCAGTGTGTGGCCCCATCTTTGCGGAGGTGGCCGATCCTGAGGCAGTCACGGGTCACCAGCCTAACCCAGCATCCTGTGCTGGGGGTGTTTGGAGTCTCCCCTCCTCCAGGTATCGCTCCACTGCCCTTTCCTGACGCCGTCAGCTCTTCTCTCCAAGTCTTGTTTTAACATGCCGTCAACCAAAGCCTGCTGCCTCTCCTGAGATGTTTGCCTTCTGTTAGAAGACCCAGTTGTAACCTGGCTTCCGCAAGCCTGTCTGTGTCATGAGGCGGCAGGTGTGTCACCTGGGCTCTCCCCAGCTCTGTCCTTCCAGGAGAGTTCTGCTGACAGAGGATGAGACCGCAGGCTCGGCCTTGACTGAGCAGAACGGCTTCACTAGAGCTCTCTGCTTCCTTCACCTCTGTGACTTACACAACCTCCCTGGGCATCAGTTTTCTCATCTGTGAAATGGGAGTGTCGTGCCTCCCCTCCCCCCTCCCATCGATGAGATGCCGCGCCCGGCTCAAGTGCTGTGAAGGGTTTAGGTTTGGAACATCCATTCTTATGACATGCTTCTTGTTTCATACAATGATTTCTCCTGTTTTTCTGATAACGGATAATTTACGGAAGCATCAGGAGGGACCTGGGGGCTGTGCTGGTCGTCAGAAAACTCGCCTTTTGTCTTCAGCTTCGTCACTGAAATCTCGTGTGACGTGTTGGTGTCTAACCTCTGCTGTCCTTGTTTTCCTCTGGCCTCTGGATGAGCGTGCGGATCCTGATTCCTGCCGCAGCCGGTGGACGGTGAGCGCTTGCTGTGTGCTCAGCAGACAAGGGCCGATTTCACACTCTCCCTTAGTCCTCACAAAAACCCCGGGGGTGGGTGTTCCTCCTTCCCCTTTTACAGCAGAGGTGCTGCGTCTTGGAGGGAGGTGCTGGACCAGGATGGCTCACAGCATCTGAGTCTCCTGCAGGCCGAGGTCTGGGACCTTGGGGCAGCATGCAAGTTGATTCCAACAGATACATCTCTCTCATTTTTTTATTGAAGTATAGCTGATGTACAATATTGTGTCAGTTTCTGGTGTGTAGCATTGTGATTCAGTTATACATGTATGTATGTATATTATGTGTGTGTATATATATTCATTTTCAGATACTTTTCCCTTATGGGTTATTACCAGACATTGAATATAGTTCCCTGTGCTAAATAGTAGATCCTTGTTACATGTTTTATATATAGTAGTTTGTATCTGCAAATCCCAAACTTCTAATTTATCCCTCTCTGCCTCCCCCTTTGGTAACCATAATTTGTTTCCTATGTCTGTGAGTCTATTTCTGTTTTGTAAATAAGTTCATTTGTATCATTTAAAGAATGAAATAATGCCATTTGCCATGGGACACTCTAGTCAGTATCTTGTAGTAATCTATAATAAAAAAGAATATGAAAAGGAATATATATGTATGTATATGGATGACTGAAACATGATACTGTACACCAGAAACTGACACAATGTAACTGACTGTACATCAGTTAAAAAAAAATGCTGTTTGCAGCAACATGGATGGACCTAGAGATGATGATACTAAGTGAAGTAAGTCAGACGGAGAGAGACAAATATATGATGTCACTTATATGTGCATCTCTCTGTATATAGTAAATATCTTCTTGGAAAAAGGAAAAGTAATCTCAAACTCTTTCCATCCCACGAAAGTCACAGTAATGCCTTTTGCTCTGTCCCAAGTACTGTGAGATGACTGTGAAGGGAGCTGGTGCTTTCAGGAAACCCAGGGGGGCATCCTGTCGGCTAAGTAGAGAACCCTTTGGTGTGTGAATTGGGTACCCTCCCTTTTGTACGCTGGATTTGTGTACTTCCTTTGGTTTCCTTGCAGGATTATGTAGATCAGTCTTGGTGTGTGGTACGGGCTCCCTTCCTTGCTTGTTTGCACTGATTGGGTTTTTCCGTACTAAGGACAGAGTATTATGTGGATGATTCTCAAGGTTATTAAGTTAACTGATGTTTCCTTGGAGAAATTGCACCTGCCTGGACCTTCCTTTGCAGAGGCCATGCTCCCTGCTGTGGAGAAGGTCTGACTGTCGCTCTTTCTGGGGCCCTTTGACTTTCTCTGTGGATGATGGTTTACTTCCAAGTTCTAAGAGCCCAACCTGCAGATTAGTTATTTACTTCTAGATTGATGCAACTTGAAATGCAACTAATTGTTCTCTGAGTGCCAAGAGCAGATCTTCTCTTTTTTTACCTTTCCACAAAGGAGTTCATTATCTTAATTGTGTTAATGGCAGAAAAGGCAGCCCTTAGTGACGGCACGATAAATCTGCAGTGGCGATTTCAGCCATTTGGATGCTATCAGTCTGAGTAGCTGGGCCATCGCTCACCTCTCTGTTGGAGGCAGTCAGTGCAACTAGTCCTCACCACTTCTTGACTCTGTGTCTTCAGTGTCCTCCGCTCAAGAAACAGATGATTAAGTGATTTATTTGCAAAGGGACCAAAAAAAAAAGCAAGGAAATCATATGAGAGAGAGACAATCTACTTTAATAAGTATGTGCAGCCACTATGAAAACAGTATGGAGATTCTTAAAAAACTGAAAATAGAGTTACCACATGATCCATCAGTCCCACTCTTGGGCATATATCTGGAGAAAACTCTAATTCAAAAAGATACGGGCACCCCAGTGTTCATAGCAGCACTGTTTACAATAGCAAGCTAAGTGTTCACTGACAGATGACTGGGTAGAGAAGTTGTGATATATATATGGGCGTGTAAGAAATAGTATTGCATCAGTGTTAAACTTCCCCAGTGTGTGCACGCGCATGCGCGTGCGTGCGTGTGTATGTGTAATGAAATACTACTCAGCCATAAAAAAGAATGAAATAATGCCATTTGCAGCAACGTTGATGGACCTAGACATGATCTTACTAAGTGAAATAAGTCAGAGAAAACCAAATGCCATGTGATATCACTTATATGTGGAATCTGAAAAAAAAATGACATAAATGAACTTATATACAAACCAGAAACAGACTCACAGACATAGAAAACAAACCTGTGGTTACCAAAGGGGTAAGGCAGGGGAAGGGATAAATTAGGAGTTTGAGACTTGCAGATGCAAACCACTATATATAAACTAGATAAACAGGGTCCTACTGTAAAGCACAGGGAACTTTAGTTAATATCTTGTAATAACCTATAATAAAAAACATGAAAAAGAATATTTATATATGCATAGCTGAATCACTGTGCTGTACGCCAGAAACTAACAAAATGTTGTTAATCAACTGTCCTTCAATTTAAAACAAAAAGAAGATTATGATGTCTTGCCCAGAGTGGTCAGGGTGCTGGGTCTGAAAGGCGTGGATCTGGTGTTCTGCACAGACACCAACACGAGATGAAAGGGGAGGCAATCATCCAGCTCCCGGCCTGTTCCCTGCATCTCTGGGAAGTCGACTTTGCCCGGCTCTGACAAAGCCACAGCGTCGCTGTCAAGTATAGAATGTCTGCCAGGAGGGTCGGGCCTGCTGTGGCTGTGAGACCACGGTCCCTATGTCTTTAGTCTCAAGAGGGTTGTCTTTGAAAAGGGGTAAGTTCTCAGGTATCGCATCCATGGTAGAGGCTTTTTTTCCCCCTTTTCCTGTAACTCTCTATTTTCCTGTTGACAGTAGGGTTGCAAGAACAGTACAGAGAACTTCCACACCTTCCCCTTTATTGGCCCGTCATTAACATTCTGCCACTTTGTATTTTTCTGTCTTCTTCCCTCTTTCCCACTCTCTCCCTCTCCACTGCCTCTTCCCATCTCTCTCTCCTCTCTGTCTGCAGCCCCGCTGGGATACATGCATGTGTGTCTAGGTGTTTATATTTTAATGAACCATCTCGGAGGACGCTGCACATGAGACACTTCTCCCTGGCATCCATCAGTGAGGACCTCCTGACAACAAGGACGTTCTCATACACAATACACTTGTCACACTGGGGACATTTTTATATAATTTTTTTAATTGAAGTATAGTTGATTTAAAATGTTGTATTGGTTTCAGGTGTATAGCACAGTGATTTAGTTATACATACATACTAACTATAGTTCCCTGTGCTGTGCATTAGGACCTTGTTTTTTGTCTATTTTGTATATAGTAGTTAGTATCTGCAAATCTTGAACTCCCAGTTTATCTCTGCACCCCACCTTATGCCTCTGGTAACCATAAGTTTGTTTTCCTTGTCTCTGAGTCAAACAGACTCACAGAAACACTGTTTTGTCCATTTGTGTCACTTTTTTAGATTCCACGTATAAGTGATATCATATGATATTTATCTTTGACTTACTTCACTTAATATGATAATCTCTAGATCCATCCATGTTGCTAAAAATGACATTTCATTCTTTTTTATGGCTGAATAGTATTCCATTGTGTGTGTGTGTGTGTATACACACACACACACACATATACATATATATCATCATCTTTAGTCATTTGTTGATGGACATTTAGGTTGCATTCTTGTCTTAGCTACTGTACATCACTGGCTACTGTAAATACACTGTAAACATTGATGCAATACTATTTCTTGCCTGTAGTAAAATTCCCCAGATTGTTCCAATAATGTTCTTTATAGCATTGATCAGAGTAGAATGAGCCCTGTAGGTACAACCATGGGGGTGTGTGAAGCGTGCAGTGAGGGAGGGTGGGTGGTCTAGCTCCGGAGCGGGAGCTGTTTCTCATTTAGACAAGGTAGGAGGGAGCATGTGTGTCTGTGGGGGCACTTCTGTGGGACTAGACTCACATCCTCAGTAATGGGGCCAATCACACCCCAAGGGATGGCCCTGGGGCCAGTCCATTCACCAGAAGATTCTGTATGAAGCACCAGCCTACTTCCTTGTACCTTCTGCCCATTTTTTCTCTCCCATCCTATGGGCCGGACTCCCCAGTGGCCCCTCTTCTCCACGGCAGCACTGTGGACGGTGCCCGCCAGCTGGCTTTGCCTCCTGGAGACCTGGGCCAGGCCTCTTCCACTCTCCTTCCCTGCCGTGATCGTGTTGGGGTTTATACAGAGACCTCCAAACAGATGCTCTTGGTGCTGCTTCCTGGTCTACCTGGACCGCTTTGATGGAGCACTAATGAACCCCAGTGTCTGAGTTTGTGGGGACACACTGAGCATCCCCCTTGGCTGCGCCTGATGTCCGGAAGTGTACGAAAAAGCCCTTCCATGCTGTTGTATTGCCGTCTCTAAATCATGGGGCGTAGAAGAGAGGGCTCGAGTTACTCGGGTGATGTTCTAGCCCAGATGAGCAGGGAGAACATGACTCAGAACAGTCTCGTCCGCGAAGCTGGGTTGGCGTCCGTGCCACCCCTGCTGCCGCTTCCGGTTTCCTCGATGCTGTTTCCCCTAATTTGTCACTTGGGCCCGAGTCCAAAGGAGCTGTCCCCACTGTAAGCCATTAGGAACTTGCTGGACGGGAGCAGGTGGGAGCCTTGACTGTCCCTCTTCAGCTTTTTCATGGACTCACAGGGGTTCCTGTCTGGCTCTGTCTCCCCCGGGTGCAGGTGGTGCTTCCCACGTTCATCCTGGAGCGGCGGTCCTTGCTGGAGATGTACGCCGACTTCATGGCACACCCGGACCTGCTGCTGGCCGTGACCGCAGGGGCCACACCACAGGAGAGGGTCATTTGCTTCGTGGAGTATTATCTCACCGCCTTCCACGAGGGCCGCAAGGGCGCCCTGGCCAAGAAGCCCTACAACCCCATCATCGGCGAGACGTTTCACTGCTCCTGGGAGGTCCCCAAGGACAGGGTCAAGCCCAGGAGGACAGCTCCCCACGCCCCTGCTGGCCACGAACACCCGCTGGCTGACGAGCCTTCAAAAAACTACAAACTGAGGTTCGTGGCGGAGCAGGTGTCCCATCACCCCCCGATCTCCTGCTTCTACTGTGAGTGCAAGGAGAAGAGACTGTGCGTCAACACTCATGTGTGGACCAAGAGCAAGTTCATGGGCATGTCCGTGGGCGTGTCTATGATAGGGGAAGGTAAGCCACATCAGGGCGGAGGGCGCTGGGCTCTCCCCAGGTGGCCTTGGTGGACCTGGTGGGTGACTGAGGATCGGTGTGTGTTCTCTGTTTTTATTTTGTTATGGAATTGATGGTGAGTGGGTGGGAAGTGGGGATGGGTTTTGCTATTTGGGGACCAGGTCCTGGTCATTTCCCAATGAGGCCGAGGAGTCGGGCTGGATGGGAGGCAGCCATCTGTCTGTCAGGCTGCCCACGTAGGGCATCACTGGCTACTCACGTGAGGGAGCCACCTTCCTTATACTTTCATTTCCGGCTCCGTATGAATATTGGAGTTGACCTCCAGTCTGTGCAGACACATTTTTGTTTATTCACTCTCACTGGTGTTCCTGCTCACAGGCAGTGAGGAGAATCGTGCCCCCCTATTCAAAACCTGCTTGTCAAAATTCCCGAGGCAAATCTCTGGATGCTGTGCTTGAGATTCTGAAGCAAGAACCCAGTATAGTCACACTTCTTGTGGGTTACATGTTCCTATTTTAGCAAATGGCTGTGAATGAAGTTTGTCATTGTTTGAAGAAAACGCTCATCATCCTTGTTAAATTCAGGCATCTGTGTTAGTGGTTCCTCAGTTTCTTTTGAGTCATAAACCCCTTTGAGATTCTGGCTGTGGATTCTCTTCTCAGGAAAAAAAATCCAGTGCAAAATTTTGCTTTCGGTTTTAAGAGGTACTTGACTACCTGAAGCCCTTCCAAAACCCTGTGAGCTGAGAACATCTTCCACTGACTTAGCACGCTTTTTTTTTCTTTTTAGCACCTTTAGTGTGGTATGTATGGTTCCTGTACAGTAAACCACATGTATTTCAGATGTACAGTTTGATGAATTTTGATAGATGTATATACACCCATGAAACAACCACTGCAGTCAAGATAGCTAACATTTCCATCACTCCCCAAGAGGTACGAATCACACTTTGATCAAGCGTCTACTAGATGCCTGTCGTTGTCTTAGGAGTGATGGGAGCTTGAATGAGCTAAACAGACAAACAATCACTGTCTTCATGAAGCTGCTACTTCTCGTAGGGAAACAGTTATGTGGTGCATTGGAAGGTATTAATTCTATGGAGAAAACAGAGGCAGGTGGGGACGTGGGAATAGCGGGGAAGAGGGCTTTGGGATGGGATGGGGTGGCTGCTGGGAAGGCCTCACTGAGAAGGTGGCATCTGAACAGAGGACATGGGAGTGTGTCCAGTGGAGAGAATGAGGCAGAGGCCAGAGGCAGGGGTCCCGGCGTGGCCGGAACAGGAAGGTGGGGAGGGAGCTGATGAGGTCAGAGGGGTGACCGGCTGGATCACGTGGGGCCTTGGGGGTCACCGCCAGGGGTATTAGTTTTCACGCCAAGTGAGCTGCGAAGCCACTGAGGGTTTTGAGCAGAAGAGTACCATGATCTGACTTACAACTTAGCGAGATCCTTCCAGCTGCTTGTTGAAAATAGACCATCAGAGGAGGAAGGGGGTGGCGAGGAGACCAGTTTTAGGAGGTTATGATAACTCAGGCACGAGATAATGGTGGCTTGGACCAGGGTAGAGATGGTGGGAGAGGTAACACGTGGTAGGAATCTGGAAGTATTCTGAAGTAGGGAGGGCCAGCAGGATTTGATTTGCCTTCGGATCAGATGTGGAGTAGAAGAGAAAGGTGACACCAAGGCTTCTTTTTTTTTAATGATATGACATAATCATTGGCTGTATTCCCCACGTTGTACGTTTCATACCTTTGACTCACTTATTTTGCAAGTGGACGTTTGTACCCCTTAATCGCCCTCAACTATTTCTCTCCTCCCATCTGGCAACCAGTGTTTGTTTTCTGAATCTATGACTCTGTTTCTGTTTTGTTTTTTGGATTCCGCATATAAGTGAAATCATAACGGTATTTGTCTTTTTCTGACTAATTTCACTAAGCTCAGTACCCGCTAGGTCCATCTGTATTGTCACAAATGGCAGAATTTCATTCTTCTTTTTTTCTAATGTCTGACTAATTCCCCGGTGTGTATATACCACATCGTCTTCATCCAGTCACCTGTAGGTGGACGCTTAGGTTGCTTCCATACCTCGGCCATTGTAAATAATGCTGCAGTGAACACAGGAGTGCATATATCTCTTTTAATTAGTGTTTTCATTTTCTTTGCATAAATACCCAGGAGTGGAATTGCTGAGTCATATGGTAGTTCTATTTTAAATTTTTGGAGGAACCTCCATACTGTCCTTCATAGAGGCTGCACCAATTTGCATTCCCACCAACAGTGCACGAGGGTGTTTCTCCACGTCCTCACCAACACATTGTCTCTTTGATGATGGGCATTCTGACAGGTGGAGACGATATTTCATGTGGTTTTGATTGGCATTTCCCTGATGATTAGTTAGGCTGAGCGTCTTTTCACACGCCTGCTGCATCTGCGTGTCTTCTTTGGAAAAAATGTCTATTCAGGTCCTCTGCCTATTTTTGAATCAGGTTGTTTGTTTGATGTTGAGTTGTAGGAGTTCTTTGTATATTTTGGGTATCAGCCCCTCACTGGATACCTCTGGGTCGGATGTGAGACAGGTGACACCAGGCTTTTGACCTGAGAGCTAGAAGATGGAGTAGCCGTTAACTGAGGTGGGGAGGCTGAGAGGGGACTGGTCTGGAGGGAGAGCCAGGAGCTGAGGCTGTGTTGGGGGTCAGCCGTTCAAGAGGAAGGCTGGAGCAGACGATGTGCACCCAGCCTGGAGTTCTGGGCGGAGGTCCCGGCCGAGCTTAAAACTTGTCATTTAAGGCCTGGGGACTAAGGAGATCGCTGAGTGAGCCCGGATCCCCGCAGCCTCCGGCACTAAGAGGTCCAGAAGACGAGGAGCGCCAGCCAGGGAGACGGAGGAGGAAGAGATGGAATGTTTTCTGCAAGCTGAGTGACGAAGGGGTTTCAAGGAGGAGAGGGGGTGATAACTGAATTAAAGGATGTGGGTGAGTCTGAGAAGATGAGAACTGAGAACTGAGATTTGGGACCATGAAGCTCTTTGGTGACCTTGACAAGGGCTGTCAGTGGATGGCATGAGGGAAAATCCGACGGAAATCAAGTCAAGGGGGAGGAGGAGGACAGAAATAGGGGACGCTAAGTACAGACTGCTCTGCCTCACTTGTTTCAGGGCTGCTGTGCTGTTGAGGGACAAAACCACTTGTGGGTTCCGCCCCTCTGCTCTGTCTCTGGGCTGCAAGTCTGTGCTCTGAAACGCTCACCCTCCAGAACCCGCAGGTGAGCCCATACCAGTGTCGGGCCTTCGTGGGTTCTGCCAGGCACCACCGTTTCAAGGTGAAGCCAGCTGACGCTGCACTGATCGCACCTTCCTCTCAAGGGTCAGGTCAAGAAATTCACCAGATGGAGATTCATCCATTTGTGAAGGAGGCCAGGGACTCACTGTCACCAGGGTGACCTCGAGTCACCCCATTTTAGCTTTTCTCTGTGATTCAGAAGGGGGTGGGTTGTGTGTGTCGATGGACACGTTCCTCAGTAAATAAGCCACGGCAATAATGATCAGTATCCCCCCTTTGTAAGCTCTTCTGTGGAAATAAACATCGCCACCACTTTGCAGTCAGGAAGACTCCCAGACTGGATGAGTTGGCCGAGCTTGCACGGCTGTCATAAAAAGGGAGAGTGGTGTCAGAAGGGTCTTTCTTCTTAAGGAGGAGTTGTTATCAGTGACAGCCTGACGATTGAATCTTGTCGCCAAAAGAGGGTTTATCCATCTCTCAAGCCCCAGGGTCTCCAGCAGAGGGGGGCTCAGCCGCGAGGTGGGCGTAGGGAGTGAGCAGTGTGTGCATCACTGACCTGTTAACCTTGAGCTTCCGTGTAAGACTTCATTTCCAAAAGGCTTCGGTTGCTTCCAAATGCTCAGCCGACCTTTGATGAGTCCAGCTGCCCCTTACTTTACAGACAAGGACCTAAGGCAGGCACCTTGTGCAAGGGCACCTGTGTGACACTGCACAGTGTCTGTCCTCCCCTCATCATGACCGGGGACAGAGGCTTCAGGAAGGGGCTGGCTGCTCTTTGGGGCAGGGACCTTCTGTCATCAACTCACCTCTGATCACTGGATGAGAAGTCAGAATCGAAGATCTAGGAGTCCCAGGAGGCCACAAGCCCTTGAATCTAGAGTTGGGGGGTGAGCAGCAGATGGAGGGGCAGGTGAGGTGATGGCTGGCCAGGGGCGTCAGGGTCCCCCCGGGGGCATAGCCAGGGCATTGAGGCCTGTCTCCCCAAAGCTGAGGAGGTGAACTTGACTCAGCTGTGCTACCGCAGAGCAGGGGTAGAGTGTGAGAATGGGGCTTTTTCCTCAGGCCTCTATTCTGATCCTCCCCTCAGACTCCTCCCCAGAAGCCCCGGCAGGAGCTGCCCCTGCGAGGAGGCGCCATTTGGGTCAAAGCCACAGGCAGGTTCCAGCAAGGCCATGGACTCAGGAGTGCTGGGAGCGGGAGGCTCAGTCTGCCTGCCTCCGGAGCCCTTCTGCTCAAGGCTGGGAGACTCCTGCAAGGTCGCTAAGGACCCCACGCGGGAGGTTTACGTTTGCGCTGATGTGTGCGCTTGGTTTGCAGTGGGGACCGAGAGTGACGCTCATCTTGGTTTTTAAAAATACTTTTTAAATTTAAATTTAAGTTTAAATTTGTTTAATATTTCTAATGGAGATACTGGGAATTCAACCGAGGACCTTGTGCCTGCTTAAGCTCTACCTGAGCCCTACACCCCCCTCCCCAAATCTTGATTTTGACGTAACACCCTGAGATTTGCTCTGGTAAAATCTTCCCCTTCATTTAAAGCCCCACATCGGTACTCAGGAGCTTCGTCTCATTCTGTCTGATTTCGTTACTTAGTCTCAATTTCCCATGTAATGTGTTATTTGAAGATGACACAGGCTTGTTTGTTGGAGAGGCGGTGCGTTGGGGCTGTTCCCACCTTGCGATGGTACCGACACCTGCGTGAGCAGACACCCGCGTGTGCGCGTA